CTGGACTGTATAGCCCCTGGGTGAGCCCTCCGTTCCAAGGTCCGAGTCAGCATCTAGGCTGTTGTTAGTTCCCTTAATAGAACTCTGAGTGGTTTCAGGTTTGGGAGTGTTGAGCACCTAGAGGCACCCTGTCTTATGTACATACTCCTCTATGTTGTCTTACCAGGTGACATTTTTTTTCCTGCTGCCTCTGACATAATTATTCATAATCTGAAGAATCCCAAGTTTGAGGAACACATACTGCTTATTTTCTACATCTACTCCCCTTTTCTTATTTCTGTGGATAGTCTAATGCTTCCATTTAATTGTGATATGATAAGTAACTGCCACAGTTTAACACTGTAACAGCATTCCAGTCAGAATTACTTCTTTAAAGTTAATATACCAAATAAAGTGGCATTTTTAGTTTTGTTTTAATTTTGTAAAATAAAGTTGCTTTTGGTGTCCATCAGAAAGTTTACTTTTTACCTGGTGCTAGTTAATCACTGGTTCTGACTGAGGTTTTAAGATCCAGCATCAAAATTGTGATGACCTGTTGTATTTGCTCATAAGAACCCTAGAGAAAATTCTTGCCTTAAGCTTTGGTTCACCGTTACCCTAGCAAAGCAAGTGGGCTTGCTGATTCGTGTTTCCTGGGCAGATTGAGAGCAGTGTTTGTCTTTATGCTATTGGAAGTTTACTTTGTTTTAACTTGGTGTTTTATCGCCTTTGGTTCTGTGATGTCACTGGATAATGGATGGATTGTTTTACATTTTATTTTATTTACCTGTAGTTGCATGTGGCTGTGTGCAAACACACGTGCACCTGATCACAGGGTCTGCCTGCAGTCTGGGCAAAGTGTACATGCTGAATAACCTCTCCCGTGTGTTGTGAGCAGGTGAGCCAGGATGGGAAGTCTCTCCTTGACAAGCTCCAGCGTCCCCTGACTCCCGGCAGCTCTGATTCCCTCACAGCCTCCGCCAACTACTCCAAGGCTGTGCACCATGTCCTGGATGTCATCCATGAGGTGCTGCACCACCAGCGCCAGCTGGAGAACATCTGGCAGCACCGCAAGGTGCGGCTCCACCAGAGGCTGCAGCTCTGTGTCTTCCAGCAGGACGTTCAGCAGGTGGGTGCCCACGCCCTTTGCAGAGCGCTAGCCCTGGTTCCTGCCCAGTGAGGGTGGGGTCTCCAGCTTCTGACTATGACCTGATGCTCTCAGTGTGGCTCTCGTCCACTTACTCTGCTGTGCTGACATCTGGGATGAATGTTGCTGTCCTGTCCTCTCCCTCTCCCTTTGGTTGACTTGTGAGAATAATACTGATTTTATTTTTTAATGTGGCTGTTGTTCCTCTAAGTCAGGTAGTGCCACAAATGGTACATAGTAGGTGCTTAGAAATGTGTCAAGTGGACTTTTATGGATCTCCATTTCTGATTAGTCAGCATATTTTTTTTTTTTTTTTTTTTTTTTTTTTTGGGTGTGGGGTTGTGTGGGTGTGTGTGTGTGTGTGTGTGTGACTTTGGTGGTAGAAAACAGGGTAGGTTGGTGCCCTCAGCCTGCAGTGTCTGTGACTGAAGAGGACTCAGACTGGGGAGGGAGCCTGCAAAATATGATATAGCTATGGCAATAATTATCTCACATCCTTGCCCTGAAACCAGTGGAAGTTGACCTAACAGTGTGTGAGTCCTGGAGACAAAGATAACTGTGTACATGCAGTGCTAGCATCCCAAAGGCTGGCCTGAAGCCAACCCCAGTGGGTGCCCTGGGGTCAGTCAGACCTCTCTACTTTTTACGCCAGTGTGTCCCTGTGCACAGTCAGGCAGATTCAGACCTCTGTCCCTTTTGGACACCAGTGTGTCCCTGTGCACAGCCAGGCATTCAGACCTCTCACCTTTTTGATACCAGTTTGCCCCTGTGCACAGTCGGGCAGGTTCAGAGCTGTCACATTCCCAGGAGTCACCTGGGAGTTAAGTGGGTTTCTGCTTGGCGGACTGGGACTTTGGGGAGTCGCACTGCAGACAGCATTCTGATACAAGATCTTCCCTGTGGATGTCATTTAGTGCAAGTCTAGTGAGGTCACGATGCTTGCAAGAGTTCTGTGATTTTTACTTTCCACCTACTGTGCTGTTTCTGGTTGTTTTTGAGTTCTCCGGAAACCATGTATATAAAATGCCTCAGCAATGAGCATTCTGATACTTTTACTACTTTTTTTTTTTTTTTTTTTTTTTTTTTTAAATTCGGGGAAGAATGGAAAGCAGGGTTGAACTAGCCTCCTAGAGGCCGTATGAGGGAATGAGTACCACAAGGTGAAAGCACAAATTGTTCAGAAATACTTGCAAACCAGGACAGTTAACCGATTAAGTACATCTCGTACCCCTGGGATCTCATTTGGTGACACAGTTGTGAGCCAATGCACTTTGCAACAGGGCCCCTCTCCCCCGAGAAAGCAGCAGCAGGGTGGTCTCTTTTTCTGGCTGATGAGACTCTTGTGGTATGGGAGTAATGGCTGGAATTGTGTAGGCTTGGGGAAGGCACCGAGAAGGAAGCCCTTCAGAAGAGCATCAGGGTCCAGTTGTCTGATCTGGCACCAAGTACTTACTGTACCAGAATTTGAAAACAGCACATATAATGTGGGATACAGCCATAATTCTGAGCTCCCCTATTCAAGCCAGCATTTACAGAATATTGGGCTGAATATCAGGAGGAGAAAGTGTTTCCCAACCACACACCAGATATTGTCAACTCCTGTTGACATGCCACAGAAACAAATATTGCCACTAAGGGGAATGTTTCTTGTTGACTTGTAAAGGTTTGGACCTGTTAATGAAAACAGGAAATTTCTGTGTAGGTTTGACATGGGACACCAAAGCTAAAAACTAGAAAAATTAATCAAGACAAATGTGTTGCTAGTAGGATAGCAAAACCAAAAATCTTCTGGAGAACTCAAGAGATGGGTAACAGAAGTTTTTGTCGCATGAAGCAGGGTGTGGTAAGCTGAGACAAAATGAACAAAACAAACTAGAGCAGCATTTTAGAAAGATACTAGCTGAAGACAGATTTGTACATTTGAAAATAATCTATCAGGATATAATGAGCCAGTTAGTGACTCCATACATTTTGTTTGGGGTAATGGAAAAAACATCAGCAGCTATTGTGCAGAAAAAAGAAATAGAGAACTTTCCCTGTGTAGACACTGAATGATTATGGTTTCCTGCTGGCAACCCTCCTAGAAGAGACTCCTTGCAAGAACACTGGCCAGACAGTTGCAGGCACCCAGGGAACTAGGTCACAGGGAAATGGCTGGGGAGTTTGGCTTAGTGGTTAATTTTCCATAATTTCTGTACAGAAGCAGTTTGGGGTGGTAGGAAGGGGTGTGGTCAGGGGGAGTTGGTCTGGGCCTTAGATCTTATGCAAAGAACAGGGCATGGGGAGTGGGATTCGTTGTTGCAGGATTACCCAGCACACGAGTGCTAGCTACTGCTGCTCTTACCTTTGCCTTCGGAGCTTCACTGAGGCCTTCACCACATTTCCTGACAGTCACGTGAGATACATTTCCATTTCCTCTGTTTCCTATCAAGTACCCCTCATGGAACGTATATTTGCATTAAATAATGGACAATTGTCTTACTGCTTGGCAGTGTTTTCATTTAAGCCTACACTTTCATTTTTATGGAAAGCTAATGGTGTTTGCTGCCCCATCACAGTCATGGAAGTCATCCAAAGCAGGAAGCTCTCAGATTCCTTTTTTACCCAGTTTGCCCAGCTCTTAGACTGTCGGGATTCAGTTATCCCAATGCAATGAGGTACATGGCCCTGCATATCTACTTTCTTGAGGGAGGCCACACCATTAGATGTTCATCACGCAGAGAGACCGCTCCCTCAAAAGCCTCTGTTTGCTCTGGGCAGCCTCTTGTGAGAGCTTCCTTCTGAAATTAGCTCTTGGAAGAGCTCCTTCCAAGCATGTGCTGTGCTATCATAGATTGTCACAGTCAGGAAGTAAGGAACAGTGGTGTTCGCTGATGGTCCCAGCTACTCAGGGGTCTGGGGAAAGAGGATCACTTGCGCCCAGGAGATGAAGGGCAGTCTAGGCACCACAGTGAAACCCTGTCAGAAAAAAACAATCAGAAAACTTTTTAAATTGATTGACCAAATCTGGTCTATTTTAGTCTTCTTCTCATCAGTACTTTCTCCTCCTTTCTGGCCTGTGCTCTGAGACCTACTGAGGTAGTACATTTGTTGTGTGAGCTCTTTCCCTGGAGAGATAGAAACAGATGTGGCCTTTGTCAAGACAAGATAAGGACACTGTCAACAACCTAAAGTATGATTGCACCTTGGGGAACCAGTGAGTTTATTGTACTACCTAAAGAGCATGGGTAACCCCAAAGCAACTTCATCACCAGAAATTCTCACCCCACCGTGGACAGCAACTTCCCCATAGCTGTATAGAGTCCCCGCTTTGGTTAGTCTTCCATAGTATATTCCAGCACCTTCCAAAGGCCTTAAGACCATACACAGGGCAAAATTAACATGCTGTCTTTATTTTTATGTCCATAAAATGTGACTTAGAAGAAGGTTCCACTAATAGTACAGAAAACACTATTAGCTTGGCATGTTGAGGTGGAGGGTAGTCACCATTTAGTTTAAGGCAAGCCTGCGGCTACACAGTGAGTACAAGAACAATTTGGATTGCATAGTGAAAAGCTTTCTCATAAAAGGAAACACCATTATGCACTAACTATACATTGTGTCCTTAAAACAAGGGTAGGAGTATAGCCCACAGGTAGTGTTCTCCATCTTGTATATGTTAGCCATACAACAAACACACACACACACACACACACACACACACACACGCACGCACGCACGCACGCACGCACGCACTCTCTCACCCTGGACTTCATCTCCAACAAAACTCATGCATGAACACACTTGAGCACAACACACACTGCTGAAGTGGATAAGTAGGGATGTTCTTTATCTGGATTTGTTTTTGGGGGAGGGTTCAGGATTACCTTAAATAACGTAGCTTGGTGTGTTTTTCCTGAGGCAACATCAGATTTTTTGCCCACTTTATAGAAGCATCATTAGAGATGGAAATCCAGTTAAAAAAAAAAAATGCCTCCTCAGCTTCCAGACAGACTTTGCAGCCCACCATATGATGTGGTGATGTCTAAGACCATGTACTACAAGCCTACATTTCAAGTTTTTCTCTAGAGGTCACCTCTTGGAGCCTTGTCTCTAGCTTAAAGGGGGCAATGATGAACATCTATACTACTGCACCTTGGGGAACAGATAGAGATTTTAGAGCCCACAACTTTTCACAGTTTAGAAAGAATAGAGCATGTGATGTGTGGCATTTGCAATGGAGTCTGGACACCTTAACTCATCCAAGTGTTTCTAAACCCACACACACACCCAAGGGTGTGTGACAAGCTTTTCATGTTTGTTCACAAGTTCTTAAAGTAGTAATCACTGAGAGAGATGAATCCACAGCCTGGCAAACATTACATAGTGGAGCCTTCTTTCTGAAAGGTGTTTTACAGATTGTGTGTGTGTGTTTTAGGATGACCGGGATCCTGTCTCCTGAGCAGAAGAGAAAAGTGTTAGAGCTTGTCCTGGGTGCTCACTAATTGGCCCTAACCCAGTTGGGGTGTCTACTTTGGCAGTGCCATTTCTCCCCAGTGCTCTGAATTGCTCCAGTGCAGGAGTGCAGCTCTTCTCCTTCCTGCCTTTCCATCAGCTGTGCCAACCAAGAGGCCATAACCAAAGCTTAAGAAAAGGGTTGGGAGGCTGACTTCCTGGTTCACTCCAACAAAGTAATCAAGACCCTACTGCCTCTATTAAATGAAAACGACAGTTGTCCTTCTTTGTCGTTCACTGGAAGAACCAGTGCTTACTGTGTGCACAGTGGTATGCCAGACCAGCTTCGACAGCAGGTGCTCCGGCGGCAAGATGACTGTTAGTCCATAGAAGCGCACTTGCCACCATCATGGTCAACCTTGTCATTATTCAGTGATGTCCATTTCATTATGGAAGGAGTCAGGTTAAGCCATTAGCAGTTTTCTGCTCCTTTAGCTTCAGTGTCTTAAGTGATACCTTACTATTTTCGGCCTTGACCTTGGCGTTGTCATGTGTGTCCACTAGAGGGCACCAGTGGACAGGAAAGATGCTCACATCCTGCCTTCTGCACAGTTGAAGATGGTGTACGCTCCCTAGATATTTTGTTCTGTGTCTGAGCCAGGTCACTCAGGAAAAAGTAAACAAACAAACAAAAACTTTCGATTTGATCTTCAGCTTGGGGCAAGGGAAGCCCTGAACCAGCTTTGTTTATGGGGCTGGTATCCTAGCCCAGAATTAACAACAGTTGGCTACAGCTCTGATCAGAAATGGCTGGCTGGACTGAGGTGATACAGTTCCCTGACTTGCTAGTCTTTTTGTGTTTAAATTGAAGACTTCGAATGCATGTGTGTAAGATGATGGTAATTCCACAAACACATTAACCTGAGCTGCCCTTGTCAAAAGGAAAAACCACCCAGACTTACAAGAACAAGAGGAGTGCATAGCCCTGGCTGGGGTACCCACCGCCTAGGCTTGCCTTCTACTCCCCCAGCCCCAGTCTGCTCTACTCATGGCTGTTCACAATTCCAAAATGATGTTTACAGGGTCTTGGAGGTTTCCTAAGATTCACCGCCATCTGATTTATGTGGAATAGACCTCTGCTGTGCAGAAGGGAAGCTTAGTCAGGCCCTCAGGTATGGAGCGATGGACAGCAGACTGGCCTTACCATGCATGCGCTGACTCATTTTTCTAGATGTCCAGATAGTATGTCAGTCCAGTTGACAGTACTAGAACGAAGCCATTGTAGACCAACAGTTAAGCCTGATTTATTTTGACATTAGTAGGGACTCCCAAACTACTTACTATATTGGCTGAATATGCCCTATTTCTTTTTCCATCCCAGAGTATTTTGAGTTGTGTACTTGGGCACCTGCTGTAATCTGACCTGAGTGTTTGTGTTCCCTAAAACTACATATGGAAATGTTGTCTACAGTACAGTGATGTCACTGTGCAGGACCTCTGGGAGTTGTTAGCACAAGGACTTAACTCTCATGAGTGAGATTAATGCCTTTAGGAAGGGGGCCTGGGAGAGTTTGTTTAGCTCCTATGTTGTGCGAAGACCCATGGAAGCCACAGTCCGAGCAATAGGTCCTCACTGGGTATTGGCACCTTAATCTTGAACTTTCTAGTTTCCAGAGCTATAAGTAGACATTTCTGCCATATAAATTATCCGGTCCAAGGTATTTTGTTACAGTAACCTAACAGAATAAGACAGTACCATAGTCACAAACATGTGCTGTTTTTAGCTGTATACTAACAAAGGTCTGTGATGTATTTGTAATGTCCTGCCAAACATTTACAAAGAGATCACTTGCTTGTTTTTCTGCCACTCTCCACCAGAGATGAAGTGTATATCTGATCTAAGTATTCTCTTACATAGTGTTAGTGTTGTGTGATTTCTCAGGTGCGGGAACCAGTGAGCTGTGCTGCTAAAGTCCCAGCCTTGAGGACAAAACACCAGCTTGCACTCCGGTTGAGTTCATGGGAAGTCTAGCTGCTGTAACACCTCACAATTTATGTGATGAATTATCCTCCAAGTGCAGGACTGTGGCATATTAATGCTGTGTTTTCTTCTGTGTTTGGAGTCTTATAAAAAGATAGCAAAACACTTATCTACATAGTTAAGCTTGAATCACCTGAATTGTGAGGCTCTGAACCATTTAAAAATGTGAACTGGTCAGCACAGCCCCATATCTATCCTCTCACACAATACCCAGTTTGGTGGCTCTGATAAGGTGAGATTTAATTTAATCATTATTACATGTGATGTGTATACATAGAACAATTTGCACTTTTAATATAAAAGCTATTTACTGTCCTGGTAGAGAAGTTGAAGTAAAATGTAATAATGAAGCGAATTAAATTAGTATTCAGGCATTTCCTCTGAATTTATTTTGTTTTGCAGCATGTTCGATGCAGAATTTTGAGAAAGGAATGAGTCTTTCCTAGATAGCCCTAACCAGTGAGCAAGGTGGATACTGTGTTTATTGTCCATATGGCTGTTTTCTTTGCAGGTGCTGGACTGGATCGAGAACCACGGAGAAGCATTTCTGAGCAAACACACAGGTGTGGGCAAATCCCTTCACCGGGCCAGAGCTTTGCAGAAACGCCACGAGGACTTTGAGGAAGTTGCACAGGTACAACAGCATCCTGAATACCCCTGTGGCTGGGTTGGAAAGTGACAGTTTTAACAAACCTGAGGCCACTTAGCCTTTACTAGGCGTTCAAGGTTGTTTGGTGGGTTTAAATTCATTCAGCATTAAGAGACCACTGTCAAGGTAGAAAAAGGATCCAGTTGGTTAACCCTCTGTAAATTGTAGTGTTTTTGAAACAAGTTTGTCTTTGATGATTTTGTTATTTTTATTAGGCCAGTTTGTGGCTTTCACTTCACAGCTGGAGAACAACAGCCCTTCTGAGGTTTCTGCAGTGTCAGGCTTAGCATTCAGCTTGTCCTTTCTCGTTTTGTTAATTGTGTGCTTGGGAAGGTGGAGCCAGGAGAGGAGGGTGCTCAGAGCCCAGGATCTGTGCAGTGCCAGTGATGGCTGTGATGATGACAGGCACTATGCCTCTTGGATCTGGAAAGTCACACTGAAGGAAGGAGGTGGAAGAAAGCCTCTTGAGTAGGGGGCACATGCCTTTAGGCAAGGAGATCTCTGAGTTTGACACCAGCCTCATCTATATAATGAGATCCAGGACAGCCAGGGCTATGCAGAGAGACTCTGTCTCAAACTAACAACCCCACCCCCAGACAAAAGAAGTCACCTAAGTAGTACAAATGCAATTCAGACAGATTGTGGTAATTGTAGAATATCACCAAGTACTACAAACAAGAAGTGGAAAATGGCATCTGTTAGAAGGACAACGGTCACAGATGCTGGAGTCTGGGATGAATCTGTCCTGATACGAAGATGTTTGAACCCTTGGATGCTGCACCTGCCTGAATTGTTGTCCCTTAGGGGGACGAAATAAGCACTGAGATTGTAATTTCCCTCGCTTCTCGGAGAACCACAAGCATTGACTTCAGATGGAGTAATGTTAAGTGTCCCTGGAACCGAAGCCCACGAGAGCAGGCACTGTTTTGTTCCCTTCCTATAATGAGCACCTACAACCATATCTAGCAAGTGTCTGTGTTCAGCAGCTACCTGTGTGAATGAATGGACTAAATGAATAAAAAGAATATCTAGAGGATGCCGTCAGCAGTCAGCAAAGGGATAGGTAAATATATCTGTAGCTTAGAGGATTACTGTCTGAGCAAAAGATAAATGTAGGAGGCAATCAAGAGTCACACAAAGCTAAAGACACTAGATGAGTCCTGAGGGCAGCAAGAGGCCTTATGCAGGCTCGTTGGCATTTTTTAATAACCCCCAAAAAATGTAAAGAAAAAAATCACTTCCAAATAAGCGTACAGCTTTGGGGGGAGGTATAGAAAACCAAGTAAATCAGAGGAGATTGGACACATTCAGGGTGGTATGGCCATAGGGCTGGAGAGATGGCTCAGCAGTTAAGAGCACTGGCTGTTTGTTCTTCTAGAGGTCCTGAGTTCAATTCCCAGCAACCACATGGTGGCTCACAACCATCTACAATGAGATCTGGTGCCCTCTTCTGGCATGCAGGGATACATGCAGACAGAACACTTGTATACCTAATAAATAAATAAATTTAAAAAAAGAAAAGAAAACCAAAAAGTTTTTCTTAAATCAAAAGTCAAAAAAAAAAAAAAAAGGATCAAAAGAAATGAGGACAAATTCATGCCAGAAAAAAAAAAAAAAACAAAAAATTAAAAAAAAGGAGACAAATTCATGCCAAAAAAAAAAAAAAAATCACAAAATTAAGACAAGGCAGCTCCACCCCATTACCCTCCCAGAGGTCAAGTAAGACAAGATAAAAACAAATGTCTATTAGACAGATAAGAACTTTCCCTAAGCTATCACCACATTCATGCATTTTTTTTTTTTTTTTTTTTTTTTTTTTTTTTTTTTTTTTTTTT